ACTGGATTTTTCTGAGTAAGTACAAAACCAACAATGTTCTCTTAGTATTTTTTAAATATTTAGTTGATGTTAACTGCTTTTGAAATAGTAACGAATTCATTTGCAGTATCTGTATTCAAACTCATCCTCTTACAAGAGGAAAAACATTTGTTTGGAGGCATTAAGAGAAGAGGCGTGGATTTCAAACCATTTGTTGCCAGGTTCTTTTAATTAGTAAAAACTTGGGATAAATTTTTAGCGTTGGTCTGATCTTTATTTTCTCTGATTTTGCTCATGTTCAGTGTTTCTTTTGTTTTCAAACATTATTCAGTTAATTGTAGATGCCTATACTTGGGATACAATACTGGCCTTTCTTTAAGGAATAACAAGGCTCAGATCTACTGGCTTGACAGATCTCTTAAAGAAAATCAACAGGAAGAAGAGGCAGAGGTAAAAGAGGAGTGAAATCCAGCTGCTTGCTGATAGTGGAGGAACTGCTTAGAGAGGAAATACCTGAATGAAAAATCATGAGGTTTGCAGAGAGCTTGGGAAGATTGTTCTTGTTGAGAAGTGGTGGGGACGAATCATTTCATTCACTTCTCTTGAGAGAGGAAATGTGCAGTCCCATTACAAATGGGTCATGTGTCTAAATTAAGGTCTTTCAAGGGGAGATAAAAGTGAAACTCAGTGAAATGAAATAGGAGAAGCTGGCTTGGGGTGTTTTACAGCCTTGTAAAGAAAGCAAGCTTACTCAGATGCAGCCTAGACCACAAGAAGTTGGATGAACATACTGAAGAAAAATCCCTCTTTGTGGTGCTTTTCTTGTAGCTCCAGAAGTATCTGCTCTGGATTGCTGTCAAGGTTCTTTCTATGGTAAAAATCTGGCAGGAGAAAAGAAGTAAAGAGGGCAAAGGATGAAAATAATAGACTGTAAAAAGAGGCAGAGAAACTTCTCACTATCCCTCTGGGAGAAGATGGATGCTGCCCAACTTTTCTTCATAGAAGCAGGGAGATACTGGGGAATGTGGCAGCTGTTGTTTGCTCAGGCTCTTGCCTCTGTAGGTTAGATAGCTTGCAGAAACAGAAGACTGAGGTAGAAGTCCTGTATTTACATTGCATTCAAAGTAGAATGCACTCTTAAGTGGGAACGGTGTAGGCTTTCTACCATCAATCTTAGTGTTTTTCCTGTTAGTTTTTGTTACCATTGAAATATTGTAATATTTCAGATGCCCTTGAAAAGTTGGGGGAAAGGACTGCCTTGTTACAATCTTACAATTTAAATACAACTACGGAAACACGTTGGAGAAAAGGTACATAGTGAACTGCAATGATGCTGTATTTCATAGTGCTTTTGAGACAAGTTTATGGGGAAATGGAAGGAAAAAAGGGAAGGGTAGTGCTGGGAGAGGTAATAGCAAGAAGGGATAAAGCACAACGAAGATGAGAGCGAGAGCTGGAAGGAAAGGCATTGAAACTGTAACAGCTATTTATTTACTGGGAACATCTAGATTAATACTTTAAGAGAGATGAGAGTGTTAATGTGGTTTCCAAGTGACATGATGTAGGTGGTTTTTACAAGCAAATATAGTGTTCATTGTAAGTGTATAAACTGAATTTTTCTTAAAGATCACAGATATCTTCCTCCACCTACGCTGTTCTTACACTTCTTGATTTCATGCTTTCTATTCACTAAAATGTGTTTATCTTTACCAGCAGTCATAAGATTCAAGTTAAAAACAAAACAAAAACCAACCCTTAACTTTATTGGAAGCAAAAGGCCAAATTCCCATTCAACGTGGTCATATAGAATGTAAATTGTATTATCCTGCTTGCAGATGGTAGAACTGATATAAGTTGCCTATAGGCACGTCCCTTAAGCCCCTGGATGTTCAATGTATGTTGGTACAAGATGTTTATATGCTTCCTTAACAGAAGTAGAGGGGAAAATGACTTAGTCTAGGCAGTTCAATTTTGGGAAAAAAAAAATTGCAAGCCTGGTTTGTGTACATCCTACTCATGTCAGTGCAGCCAAGGAACGTGTCCCACAACCACCTACTGTGCTCACCTCCCATTGCTCTTTGCATATCTTGAGAATTTCTTTGTCTTCTCCTTGTCTGCCCTCATCAACTCCTGTCTGTCCTTGTAACACCCATTTTGGATTTGCACCCCTCACCTTCTGTGCTGGTGTATGGCAAGAAGATGGGTGGGGTAGGAACTTATGGAATGAGGACATAATGTAATTGGCATCTACGATGATCTGAACCAAAGGTGATGCAATGATATGGAATTCCACTGCATTAGAAATGTAGTGGCGATCCTTTTGACTTAATCAGGTAACTCTTGCTGTGGGAGTTCCAGGCTTGGTGGTTGTTATAAAAGCTCAGTGAAGTTTTGAGTAGCTGGTTTACTACTCTGTAAAGTCAAAAGTAATGGCTGAAGCAAATGAAGCTTCTGCGGTCACGTCAGTTCTGTCTGCTGGTCATTCTTCCCTCTTCATCTATCAGCGTGTTGGACATTTTCAATCCAATTTCAGAGTGGAAGAGTTCAAGCATGACGTGGCCAGTTTGCTTAAGGGAAAAGCTGCCTTGAGAATAGGATATCTGTTTGGCTTGTTTGCCCAGCAATCAACATGAATGGTGGTAGTTTTGCTCAGTGTGTTTAGATGTAGCCAGACTTACAAAAGATGATGTTGCCCAGCTAGAAGGGGAGGCTTCTGAAGGCAGTGTGGAGTTGAAGAGCTGTGCAGGGGAACAGAGAGCATTGCAAGAGTTCTGGGATCTCTGCAAAGGTGCAGTTTCAGAGTTATTAAAAACTAATAGTAACATACTTAAAGCTAATACAGTATTTGCTTAGCACAGTTATGTTCACTGCTGAACACAATTACAAGCTAGAAGCTTACAAGCTTTTAGTTTTACTTAGTGAGTGAGAGGAAGATATCTTTATAGTTTTTTAGTTTCTTGTCACAGACTGTTTTTCTGTTAAATTTAACTGCAGCTGTATTTTTGTAAATGCTGCAATGAACTTTTTGGTGGTCTTGTGAATGGGAAAAGTTGAGATTTTTTTTGTTAATAGTTAGAGTGGAATAATTCTAGTGGTTTTTTTCCCCTTTTTTTCCCTTAAAGTACTGTTTGCTAAGATCCATATTCCTGTTATCCATGCTTCACATTGCTTCCATATGGAAATGTGGCCCTGTGATGTGGTCAAGTTCTCTCATATCATAAGTATTAGTTTTGTGAAAGGAAATGTTTAGTATTTTTATCTCTATATTTAAAAAAAAAAAAAAAGACAAACTTATTTTGGGATTTTCATACAGACTTCTTGTGGTTACCTACTAAAGCTGTTAGGTGAACACACTCTAAAGCTGTAAGTCAAGGGGAGAATATTTTACAGCTCATTAAAATACTATTTGTGTGAGATATGGAAAAAAGTTCAAAGTCTTACACAACACAACTGCTCTTTGACAGCAGTATTAGGGGGGGAGATGGATCATTTTTGACAGCAGTATTAAAGGGGGTAAAAAGATCATTTACACCCATCACTGCTAGTGTTTTGGCATGATCCTTCTTTCCAAGCCAGCTGATACACTATATTTGGAAATGTGGCTGTGTTGTGTATTACCAAGCTTATTCATCATTGCTGTCAGCTTACTCTCTCTTTGCAGAGAGATTTCAGGAATTTTAAGCAGTGTGCATTTGAAAGGGAACATGGCATTGCACTTAAAAAGTATTAACCAGAAGACAACAAGAAAAGTGAACTTGGGGGGAAAAAAACAAACGAAAACCCCTCAATTGAAATGTTGTGCTACTGCCTCAGATATTTATGAAGTTTGCAGTTCATCTCAGTCCTGAAGGCTTTTTTCTCTGCAAGCTATGCAGTTATATTTTATAGTGCTTTCCCTGCAGTCATACATGTATTGGCAAACAGCATGTCTTTTCATTGCTTTTGTGAGACACAAGCTTATACTTCCTTTTTTTTTCTGAGATGTGGTTTTAATATAAGCAAAAAAAAAAAAAAAGCTTAATTTCTGAAATTGTATTTCAAATTAAAAAATACTTTTGAAACTGCCTTTGGGCAGCCTGGTCTGGTGGTTGGTGACCCTGCACATAGCAGGGGGGTTGAAACAAGATGATCATTGCGGTCCTTTTCAACCCAGGTCATTCTGTGATTCTATGAAAATTCCAGAATCTTCTGTAGAATTGGAATTGAAGTTTAAAATCTGTTTCATGATCTGTAGATGTGAATTTAAATTACAAAAAGTAGCTTCACAGAGAAACCACACACTTATCATTTAGGTCTTGTATTATCAGGATACTCATCTACTGCTGAAATATGGCAAGTAGCATTGCTTAGCTAAGCTGTTTTTTCATATGTAATTGGATATATGTTGTAAATTTTTCAGCCTTGATTTTCTTATCTTATACTGTACAAGAGCATATTCAGCTAGAGATCATTTTCTAGTCTTTAAAACAACATTCACTTATAATAGTAATGTAAATATCTACCATCATTTAATGTTTTTCTTTATGTCATATTTGAGAAGCTGTAGTTTACATACTCTATAAATTCACATGGATATCCTAATGAATATTACCTTCTGCCTTTCTATGACCTGAGGAAGTAACCTGATTTTGTATTGTGTGTAATAAACTGCTTGTGGTTGTTCTTTTAAAAACTATAAAGGATGTGAATCTGTGGGGTCTTTTCTTACCAGTCTGCACATGAGGGCTTGTCGTGGTAGAAGAGCTGCTGGAAAATTAAATTATGCAACTCAAGGGAGAGCTGATAAAATGAAACAGTGAACTTGGGTTGTTTGAGCCTCTAATCTCTATCTGCTAGGGAGATAAAAGAAGCCTTGTTGTGCCCCCAGACTTCATAGTCTCCATGTCCTCAGGGACAGTCTGTCTCACTCTTGTGTTTAGAATCAGCAGGGGAAAGAATTTTGTTCGTCATCCTGTCTGTTCGTCAATACTGTGTTTGATTTCTAAGTAGTTGGTGATGGTGTGCTCGTTAATCTGTTTTAGTTGGAAGATGGGGAAGAAAAGCAGAGTGAAAACACAGAAGTCAGGTACAGGAGCTGCAGCGACAGTATCTCCGAAGGAACTGTTGAATCTGACTAGTGAGTTGTTGCAAAGTAAGTTTCATTTGTTGCCCCTGAAGGAATAGGGGTGACGTGCAAAATGATCAAAAATGTTCAATCATTCTCTTGTTCAAAACAGTTACTTCATTTTCTCTAAGCAGCCAACCTTGCAACTGATTTCAAATACAGGAGCATGTATTTCATAGTACTACTTATACTATAATGGTAAGAGATACATACATATCATTACTGTACATTACAGTACAAATAGTATATATATTTTACTGTTGCAGGTTTATTATGTGAGTATATGCAACACAACGTCTTTGGGCAGCTTTTGACTGTCTCCACTTAAGTCTAAACACTCAGTGAGATCAGTTAAACAAAAAACTGCTGTAGATTACTTAACGTTGCAGCTTTGTCAAAAGCATTTTTCTTGTAAACCTCAAGAATTATACCATTTCTGTTAAGCTTTTGAACAACACTTTGAACTGACACCAGAGTGGAGAAATCAACAATGGAAACAATGGAAAGCAGCACTACATCTCAACTGCACTGCTACTTTTGTCTTAAGTAAAAACACTTATTTTTATCACTACTGCAGAGCTCAGGTCTGGTGTGTAGACCAAAGGTTGTTTCACTTGTTGAGGAAATTGGAGTTTATCCATTATTTCTTCAAAACATGAAAAATGGAACACAAATTCATATGATGATGCTAAGATACTGTTCACACTTGTTACTGTCATTGGCAGCTGTAGTGAGGCTACACCGTGGTTGAAAGCAGATCTGCATTTTCGTACCCTGGACACATCTAAATGTTGCCTTTGAAAAATCAGTTTTCTCTTAGCATTGCTCATAAAGAGGAGACAAGGAGTTGGCAGAGCAGTTTTGTGCTTATGCTACAGTTGGCCTGTGCTTTGCTACCAAAAATAAAATATAGATCTAATTTTCTAAGCAAAGCCAAGTATCAGCTGTTCTTTTTGTCAAGCTTCCATATTTTGTTCAACAGAGAGATTTGCAAATCAGTTGAACAAAGTAATCTTCAGCTGCCCACTTGGATTTATGCAGCTCAGATCCACATGCTGGCATTTAGAACACTGTCAGAAACATTGGGTTTTATCTAACACTGAAGCTTGGCTAAGGCTTTCTTTGCTTATCCTTCCAGTATGTATGCATCTTTGAGCATTATATTAACTAGGTAGATCAAACAGATGGGCTTGCAAATTCTTCATTTATTGAAGTTAAACTCTGTGATATTGTTATCTGCTTTCGTTACATAAGAGTAATGGCGAGTAGGCTAATGTAAATTGTGATGATTATTGAAAACAAAAGTTATGGTTCTAAATGTCTTTCTTCCTTGAAGTTTTTTTTAAAGATCTAGTGTTCCTTCTATCTGACAAACAGATGGAAGTAAAGTAACTCGGGTGAGTTATACTATGAAAATTTCAAAAGTCTCTGGCCATTACATGTCAAAAAACCAGGATGTTTTTAACAGCAGAGATGGTGTTTATCATGCAAACATGCCCAAAGGACTAGTACTAAGCTTCAGGTGAAACTGTGACCTTCTATCTGATGTTAAAATGTATATGTTAAATATTTTGGTTTGGCATATTTTTTTCCAGAATGCAGCAGTCCTACCCCAGGTCCTGGTAAGGAATGGGAAGAATATGTACAGATTCGTTCTCTTGTTGAGAAAATTCGCAAAAAACAAAAAGGTAAGTGTGAAAGACTGTGAGAGATGGTTGGCTCATACAGTTCTAATTTGCCCTAAGAACTGTTTCTGTTGACAGCTAAAAGAGAGATTTTTGTTGTGGTTATGTAAATATTGTGCCATTCTATTATGATGGGACAAAAATACTAATTCTCTTGATACGCAGCTTCTTTGTACATTTAAGTGTCTTAAATGCTCTGATGAGCATAATCACTGGCACTAGTACTTTTAATATTTGTGTTTATGAATGAGTACCACAGACAAATGATTTTATTTTTTGCCATAATTAGAAGAGACAGCTTGGGATTGTGGTGAGATGACAATCTGAAGGACTAAAGTAAAATGCCGCTTGAGAATAATAGGCCTTTTTGATTTCTGATTGTCTAGTCTGCCTTCTTTGCCTTATAGATTGGAACATTTGAAATTAAACTTTATGAATATTTTAATCTGAACGCTTTACTCGTCATGAAAATGATTTCTGCATTTAAAATAATGACATCAAATTTAGACAAAATGGAAGTATGTAAATATACAAAATAGACATCTATCTGTTATGTACCAACCATAAAATTAAGTATATACTTATGACATTACAGTTTATATGAACTATTATTGATGATTTTCCTAAGCTTAATGTATATTTATTGTATTCAGATTAGATCAGATTGCTTTCACTATGTTCTGCAATAGCTTACTGATCTGTTGAAGCTATTTTTATAGTAGCTTTGTTTTTATTTGTAAGTAAGTTCTAAGAACTATTTTCCACTTAGTCTTTAATAAAAGTGACCTCTTCAGAGAGTTGTTTTATTGTCCAAGAATTATCTTTTTTTACTCAAGATTCAGACTGGAAATACCAGAAGAAGGGAAGGGAAGAAAGTAGTGAAGAGGAGGGGTGGGGAAAGAACCAAGCTGCATGAAGCTTGAGTGTTTCATGTATTTGTTTGAAGTAGAGGACTGTTTAGGAGCTTTAAATGTTCTTTTTGCCCCTTTTAAAATATATATTGACTAATGTATAAAACTCTCAGTTCATAAAAAATCTTTTAAACCTCTGAACTGTAGTTATTAGCAGAGCACATATCAAAGAATAAATGATACTGTTTGAGTTATTGCATCCTATAACTGTGTATTGAACTCAATTCATTCTTTTACTATCCTGTAACTTCTATAAAGTTGTGGTATGTGTCCTGGTTTCTACAATGTAATCCACGTGTTCTGGTAGAACATAGTTCAGGTTTACAAGAGCAGAGTTAGTGCTGGCGTGGAGCTTTTCACTCTATGTCCTGCACCAAAAAGACAGAACTATTTATGGCAAAAATCTGTTGGCGGCAGTAGAATTTGTTAATAGAACACATTTTTTTTGCCTTGAAAGATGCACGGCCACAACACTATTGCCATACAAATGTGTTCTAATGTACGTTTTTACATACACAGTGAGTATGAATAGTATGGTGTCTTTCAAAACTGTTTTTTGAATTGAACATAACTTATACTACATAGTTTTTGGATTAATACAAGCTTTAAACAATTAGCAATGGGATTGTGAATTGAGGCTGGGAATTTTAAGATGTACAATACTTTGTGCTTTTCTCAAATAGGGCAGTGGGTTGCAGAAAGCAAAACTAAAACTCTTCACTTGAAAACTGAGTATTTTTGTTTTCTAAACTTTTTTGCTCCATGAGCCAAAAAAGGAAATTTTAGAGCTGATTTCTCAGCTCTTTTATCAGTACAGCTATATTTTGTTTAGTGTTGAATTAAATAGTTCTGTAACCGTGACTGAATTTTAAATACTGATAAAGATCTGCAGAAGTTATGCAGCTAGCCGTACTAGATATGCTTTGCTAGCCTTATCTCTAAATATATTCCACAGAAAATAACTTAATGAAATGAGTACGAAATAAAGGAAAAATGCTAGCTTGGTTAAAAACAAACAAAATATTGTGTGCCACATTCTCATCGCATTCAAAGCCAAGTACTTATCAGTATACCTCTTTTATACCATATTGTCAATGATAACCACAGATTTGATTGTTTCTGGAATTTTAAATGCATGATTTCAAGGATAAAACTCTCAAATACACAACTCCTACATTCCTAAAACTCTTCTCACATTAAGATTTATTTAACAACTGTGCTTAACCAAAATATCTTTGAACGTGAGCGATTTGCTGATTGCATATTGTCACTCATAAAACAACCTGAGCATTTTTAATTTGATCTGATTCTAGAATTTAGACTGAAAAGAACTTAGACAAAGAGGTGTGGAAGGATCCAACTGGGAACTGTAATGCATAGGTTTGAATCAGATGAAGGTTAAAGGGAAAGCTGAGGAATTAGTAAGACTTGTGATTTCACTGGTGGGCCACATGCCTTTTGGAGGATCAGTGTCTGCAGTTTGGGAGGACTGTGATATATCAGGGGTTGATCAGTTCTTAGTTATTTTAGCAAATCCATGTGCTATATGAAAAAGCCAAGTGCTTTAGATGTGAAAGAAGCTTGATATCCGCTTATCTTCATTTCTGGTGGTCAGTTAATGACACTTCAACATGCTCCTCCTCAAGACTGTATTAATATGTTGTGGTGATTGTGTTTATGCTCAGTATTAAGCCGGGAAATATTTTCACTCCTATTTAAAAGGAGAAGAGGAGGGAAGTTTGATATTTTAGCTCAGCTTTGTTCAAATGGCTGTATTTTTAAAGCGACAAATAAGCCAATTTTGCAGCCTTTTGTCTACTATCAAGTAACGCTTAACAGAGGACAGTTTGGACTCAGCTTCTTCCAAGTAGAACTGCTGTGGGATAGCTGAGAGCCTTTGTATTGTACTTTATCTTTCTACATCCTCTTATTTCTGCTTTTTTAATAAATTTTGTGTGTAGGTTTGTCTGTTGTCTTTGATGGAAAACGAGATGACTATTTCCCTGAGTTGATAAAATGGGCAACTGAAAATGGAGCATCCACAGAGGGTTTTGAAATAGCTAACTTTGAAGAGGAGGGGTTTGGTTTGAAAGCAACAAGAGAGATAAAGGTGAGCATGTGGACACTTGACTTGATCAGCAAATGATATTTGAAACATAGCTGCTGAGCTCTGAAACATTCATCTTCTTTTCTTCCGTATTTTGACTGTTGATGAAACTGCTGTTTTGAAAAGCTAAACTGTGTACTTGAGAAATAGAAGAGTTTATAAAATGGAGTATTTCTTTGACTGTTGAATAGTACTGTGAACTTACTGGTCTTTATCCTTGTTTGCCCGTGATGTTTGCCTGATTGCAAGAGTGCTCTTACCTTATTAATGTAGCCTGCTCACATACTTTCTAACTGCTCTAGTATCTTCTTTCACATTACTTTTAATCATTGGTCTTTTTGCCTCACGGAGGTACTGTGATACTTTCTAGTGAATTTGGAAGGGAAAAAAATACAAACCAAAACCCTTATACTGAATATCTTTCAATCGTCAGGTAAGGAAAATAGATGAACACAGTTAGCTAACTATGAAAGGTAAACGCTTAAGCTGTTTTTTTTCACAGCTGTTTCCCATCTGTAAAATGGAGGATGGGAAGAGACAATCAGCTGCTGTAGAAAGAATGTTGAAAAAGAAGCATGATATGTTCGCTCTAGGGCTTTAGCAGCATGTACTTAAGACTTGTACCACCGATTGATAAGGATTAAAGTCTCAAAACATTTCTCCTAAAATCAGATGCAATGGAAAAGAGTACTGAGAAAAAATACTTGATCACATAGTTAATAGCAATATAATGGATATTGTACATTTTGAGGTTGTTGTGGACAGTCTACATGTTGGCATCTAGAAAGCAAAGTGCTTTGTTTTGTAATATACATATCTGTGTTCTGTATGATGCAGATCTGGACCCTTCAGTTATTGCAATGTTTAATTTTCAGTGGAAGAGAAGGAAGAATTTTGCAAAATAATTTTTATTAAAAAAGAAAAAAGCTGGAATTTAATGATGTATACCTAACACTTGGCATATCATATAAATGTTAACTGACCCTCTACTTGTTGGTTTTTTTTTTTCTGTAGGCTGAAGAGTTATTTCTGTGGGTACCTAGAAAACTGTTGATGACAGTTGAATCAGCTAAAAACTCAGTATTAGGTAAGATATTAAGGAAGTTATTAGGTAAGAAGTAGGAGATGATGAAATTTAAGTCTCTTATTTAGCTGATCTACTATACCACAGGACTTAATTACCTTCACCATCAGGGTTGGCATGTCCAGAAGCTTGAACACAGTGGAAAAAACTCCTGGTTCTGGCTCAATGTACTGGGTATATTTGATACATTCCAGAAGCATGTTTGTTACTTTGAACACATTATGTAGCTAGTAGAGTGTTCTGTGTATAATGTATCGTGCAGTTTCTACAATATTGCCAGATGAAATGTTCTCAGACACTAAATATTTTTCTAGCTTCATGTCTTCCACCATGTGATTGTATGAGGTGTTTACTTGTTGCAAAATACAATGCAGGTGGCCAAATATTTTAGAAAGCTGAAAAACTCTTTTTGGCTGAGAATGGTTACATGTTATTTCAGAATCTTAACTTAAAGTGAATGTAAGGTGATATTTTCCACGGCTTGTTAATTTAGTGCTTCACCTTTCTGATTAATTCAGGTTCCTTGTATTCTCAAGATCGAATTCTTCAAGCCATGGGCAATATAACATTGGCATTCCATCTTCTTTGTGAGCGAGCCAACCCCAACTCTTTCTGGCTGCCCTACATCCAGACTCTCCCCAGTGAATACGATACTCCTCTCTACTTTGAAGAAGATGAAGTGCAGTATCTTCGGTCAACTCAGGCCATACATGATGTTTTTAGCCAATATAAAAACACAGCCCGGCAATATGCTTATTTCTACAAAGTTATTCAGGTAAGCATCTTAAATATAGTAAATAGTATAGTTCATCTCATGATTGAAAAAGGTGTGAAAACAGTGGTGCTTAATAATAGAGAAAGTGTATTGTTCTTAAAAGGTTTGAATCATTGAAGCAAATTCCTGCTGTTTTTTTTTTTTGAACTGCTGTTTAAAATTCACAGTTCAGTAGGTTTATGAATATATAAGAATGTATTTAGCTGATTGAGAGAAGTGATTACTGCCCTTTGTTTGACACTGTTGAGATTTCTCCTGGAATACTGTATGTTCTTGGGCCCATCAGCACAAGAACATTGACAAACTGGAGTGCAGAGCAGGGCTAAGAGCACACTTGTTTTAGCCCTTTTTTTTTCTGTGCAAGGAGAGACACAGGGAACTAAACTTTTTCAATTTGAGGAGATAAGGGGTGGTCCAATTATTGCTTTCAATTTTTCCTTCTGGTAGTCAGATTCCAGAAGTTTCCCTGTGAGTAGCTGGGCTTAGTGACCTCCAGAGTTCTCATACAACTTGTTCCTTTGATTCATTGAAAAATGTAATTTACAGTAATCAAAGCAGAAACATAATTTTTAATTGATGAAAGAACATTGCATACGTAGCCTTTCCAATGGCTGTGATTTACCTGTAGTTTTCCCTTCTATTTAACAGAATAATTATGATTGATTTTAAATACATAAACACATCTGGTAACAATTTGAGTATGAAGAGCCTGTGAGATTCTTGAACTATTTAAGTAATGAAATTGAGCTTTTAAGATAGAACTGTTACTCTGAGTGTCTTGATATAATGTTGTAGGTGAATAGTGAAGTGTTGTTGTCAGGGTCAGATTCAGTGTCCAACCATCCAAAGCTTTTTGTGTCTGTGTAAGAAACAAAAAATTTCCACAGATGTGTAGTCTAGAGAGATGGTTTGTTGACAGTACGAGAGGTCAGAAAACACAGCACAGTTATGTTCTCCTGTAATATTATCAGAGTAACATTAGAGAATTCTTCTAACTGCTCTTCACGGCCTTGCAATACTTAATCAGGTAGCTTTTCTGTGGTTAGTTCTACCAACTTCCTAACACTATTACAGCAGCATTAGTCAATGTGAGAAGTTATATGATCAGAACAGTAAGAAAAAAATATGCAGTTCTGCAGAGAAATAAGATCTAGAATTCCAGTCTGGATTGGGTCTGCTGTGTGTCCAGTCCTTCTGAACATCTTCTCTGTAATTGAAGTGATGAATGTGTATTAACTGATACTAAGGTGATACAAACAACTGAAGAATGTTTATAGAATACAGTGATATAATTGCATGCCACATATCATGTGGGAAAAGAGCTTGAACGTTTGACAAAACGTTTTTTGCCCATCTGGTTAAGGATGGCAAATTTATTCTATTTCTCTTATTATTTCTTAAAGCTAATCAAAGATAATTTGTATAACATTTAAGCTAATGTCATCAAAGCAATGTCTCACTAAATAATTCATATTTGGTATCAAGAGCCATACTGTTGATTGTTATGGTAAGAGGAGCTATAGTTTAAGCAAAGAAAATAACGTAAGTAGGATAACTTCAGAGGCAGTCTTTGGAAACCTGGTGATGGTTTTCTGCATGTGGTAACAAGCTTTTAATACTCTGTACTCTGCACTTTCTGTATTATCAATTACATCAAAACTGATATGGTATCTTACAGTTTCTTAGCAGTGTGCCTTCGTGGCTTGACAGTCAAAAGTGAAAATTGTATTCTGGATTGCATTAAACATGGCATAACAAGCTGGTCAAAAGTGGTTCTCCCACTGTATTTAGCACTGATGCAGCTTCTTCTGGAATATTGCATGCAGTTCTGTGCTCCACAACTCAAAAAGGATGTTAAGATACTTGAATGCATCAAAGCTGATACTGATGGCAAGAAACCTGGTTAAGAGCTGGAAGATGTCCTGTGAGGAAGAGCTGAAGACACTGGGTCGGTTAAGTAGAGAAAAAGGGACCTCACTGCTCCTTCCTGAGGAGGAGAAGGGCAGAGGGAAGTGCTGATCTCTTCTCCTTTGTATTGATTGACAGGACACACTGGAATGGCTGAAAGCAGTAAGGTTCAGACTCAGCATCAGGGGAAACTTTACCAGGAGGTTAGTTAGACACTGGAATATGCTTTCTAGAGAGGTGATTGATGCTCTCTGCCTGTCTGTGTTTGAGGCATTTGGATAATGTGTTCCTAATCATATGTTTTAAATTTGGGTCAGCCCCAAGATAGTTTGACAGTTGATCTTGATCCTTGTAGGGTCTCTTCCAATTGAAACTGTTCTATTCTGATACTTTTGAAACCAGTATAGTTCAGCTTCATCTGCTGTAATGGATACCTTTGTGGAAATAGTTTTTAAATACATCATGTTTTTCTCTTCAGACTTTTTATTTGTATACCAATGAAAAAAAATAGTATGGTACCATTGTCTTTCACATGAAATATTAAACATACAGGTTCTGGTCATTTGTGATTAAAAAAAAATCTATACCAAATATTTCTTAACCTCCTGACAAATACTTTCTGCATAATACACCTACTATTTTAAACTTAACACGACCATGAACACGGATCAAATAGGAATCATGTGCTTTATTTACTTGTTCTTTAGAAACTGAGTAGTAATATTTACTGGGTAAACATTAGGTACGTTCTGATTATTTGGTGCTGTGCTAGGTAACCACAGTTTCAACTGAATACTTCCTTACTAGTATTCTGTAAAAATGTCACATTGGAAAGATGGATAGATCTATCCAGGACTGCCAAGTGAATGTACTAATCAGTGCTTTTGATGAAAAGTCACAGGAAAGTTTTAATATTACTTGATCACTGTTTCTGCTCTCAAAAATAAAAGCTTACAATGTTTGAAATAGTGAAGAAAACAGTGCACAAGGTCTCCTTTTTTTTTTTTCCTAAAACAAAACATCGCTTTCATTATTCAGGAAAAACAGAATGAATTTTTGTATCATGTTGCATGCACTCTTATTTTATAAACAAATTTGACAAAAAAATATTAGCACAAAGGGTAGCTTGTTGTTTGGAAATTCAAGAACATATGGAAAAGGGAAAAAGTGGTGAAAAAGATTAATCACGAAAACGAAAAGAAGGCAAAGCAGAACTGTTTTCTTATGAAGGCAAGAGCATTCCAAAGCTTTATGAAAGTGAACGTGAGACTTTTGTGTACAATTCCATTCAGTACTTCTATATTCGAGTAAGCATTTTAAGGAAAGCTGGTGCTTGTGACCAGGATTTTGATTCTCTTTCAGGTGTGCAGTCTTAGTGTTTTTTAAAACATCTTAAATACCCATTTTGCATTACAGAAATCTTATATTTGCTTTCTTGATGCTTTGTTTTATCACAGGAAATAAAGCAAGTAGAATCTTGAAATAAGAGGGTTTTTTTTTTTTTAAATATCTGGAAACCCTGAAAAAGGGATTAATTTATGAACTCAGAATATTTGAAGTGCTCTGCGAAATTTTTAGTCTGCAAAATGTCTCTAATGACTAGGGGAAGAAAAGGGTTAAACCATTTAAGTGCTTCATTGTCTTTCCATATAGGATTGCTAGACTGTTATTAAAATAATTCTGTTTCTGATACATGTGCAGATTTAAACAACTTGACAAGCGCTGGTCTGTTTTATTTCACTACCTTGTCAGCAGTGGTGGATTTCTCAGAGCACTGTAGTTCTAACTCTTTCCCAAAGTGATTAGTCCAGATACACATGAAGAATGGGCAGATTTATGCATTTCACAGCTGTTGCAAGCCAAACTGTGGTCTGGTTTGATAAGCAGAAACAGGTGTGATGTTGAGTAGACAAAAATAAACCTTTGAGCATGTTAGCCAGGGTCTATAAACCACACTGACACCTTCCTAAATGTATGTAATTTGATAACTAAAAAATAGTTGAAAGTTCTTGCAGATGTGCCTTAAAGGTGTATTTAGCCTCTGCTTTGCTATCCAAATACAGCAAATGGTCAAAGGAATACTTTCATCATAGCAGATTCATAATTTTAAGTTTTTGTAGTTTATTCCAAAGTGGAGTTTAGTAACCTGCAGGGTTCTCTTTTCCCTGGGAAGATGTGTGAATTCCATTGACGTTTATGGGCACTGCAAGCATAGTGAAGGGTGAATAGAGTCCAAATATTTATGGCTTCATATTTAAAAATATATATATATTGTAGGCTGAAATGTGGTATAATAAGCACAAGAGGGAGCCATATAGTTTACAGACATTCACAGTAAGATTATATTCGTAAAGAAAATAAATGCTTTGAGCCTTTTAAAAAAATAGTATGCAGTAGTTTTCCTGTTTCACTTTTTCTCACAGCTGCACCTGGAGGAGACCTGTTTGTAGTCTACTAAAGAGAAATTTTTGTAAATCAAAACAAGACATGGAATGCTCCTAGAGCAGATGCAAGTACTGCAGTACTGTTTAACCATTTGGACACTGCAAATGTAGTAGAGGTGGTTCCTGTTGAACTCCACATGGTTGGTGATTGCCCAGCCCTCTAATTTGACAAGCTCTCTCTACAAAGCCTCAAAGGAATTAACAGCTCCTGCCAGTTTGGTGTTGGCTGCAAACTTACTTAGTGCATCTTCAAGTCTTGTATCCAAGTCGTTCATGAAAGCGAAGTACCATCTCTGTATTCCAGAAGGTCAGGAAGGAGGACCTTGGGAAATACAGACCATAGTGGAAGGACTAATCCTGGAAATAATTTTGAGGCAAATAGCATAAATTCACAAATGGAAAATAAGGCTTGACTAACCCAATAATCTTCCATGCTGAAATGACTGGCTTGCTAAACAATGGGTGGGTAGTGGGTGGGTAGTGGATATTGTCTGTATGGAGTTCAGTAAAGGTTTTGATGCTGTCTCCTATTAGACCTTCATGGAAAAAGAACCTGTTGGAGTATGGGCTGGATGAGAAGACTGGGTGGTGGAGTGAGAGCTGGCTGAGCCCCTGGACGGTTGTAATGAGTCCAACAAAATCCACTTG